GGGGGGGGGGGGCAGAGAAGCGCCAAGACAGTCGCCTTCAGGGATGGATCTGGGTGGGGATTTTTGGGTCAACGGAGATGTGTGTGCACAACGCACGTCACGCATGATGACCGAAAGCGCTCTCTCAGCAAAAACAAGCGAGGTCAGATGGATGTACAATACAGCACAAGTCCAAATTGTCACCAACTACCACGAACGAACAAGAAACATGAGGTATCGAGGCCAGAACACCAAAAAACATACCGTGACACGCACAGCGACGCATGTGTGTTATTGCTGTGGTGCATATACATATATATTTTCATCTCATGTGTTGTGAAGGGAACATATCAACTTGAAAACTCACCGCCGTCTTCGATGCTGCAGTCTGACTCTCCCAGGTCATCCCTCGCGAGGTGCGAGAGGGTGTGGCTCTGCCACCAGAACGTGTCCAGGTTGGCCAGCACCCATCCAAGCAGACCGTCCGTGGACCAGGAGCCGGCGGCGAACTCGGCGGTCATGCCGGGGACGGCGGTTGCCAGCCAGCCGACGGGGAGCTGGGGGTCAATGCCTTCGAAAACATGTCAAACACGGTGGGGGGGGAAGTACTTATATTATTGCATGCATTTTACCGTTGACCACGCGTCCTCAAGAGGACGGTGGGGGAGGGGCGCGTAGTCCTGTCGTTCATGCCTTAACTGTGGTGGACTATTGACCACGCGTCCTCGAGAGGACTGGGGGGGGTCAACATACACCCATCGCCGCGCGCGGGAAGAACGCATGCGCGTGTAATCAGTACCAGTGCCGCATCCCGCGTTTGTTGCGTGAAGGCTACATACACTAATATAGACCCGTCTGCAGTGACGCTCAAATATGATTGCAACAACAGAGGGCGCTACGGCGACAGCGACGGCTGACTTACACCCAAACGGCTACGACAATCAAGATAAGATCAAAGAACAATACCGTCAGGCGCTTAGCTTACCGTCGCCGTTGACCTGCTGACCCTTCGGGAGCAGCGCGATGTCAGCGTTCGCGATGTCGAGGACGAATGCGGAATTCACCTGCAACACACAGCGCCAAGCAGAACATCGCGGGTAAAAAAGAGAGCGACGATAGGATGCCCGAGGACATGCATCATGAAGATCGAAGGTTCTCTCGTGTATGGAGGTAGCCAGCGGCGTTCTTGCCAATTTTTTGTCCTCTCGCCTGTGTGTCGTTTCGTTCGACCAGTAAGCCAACACACAAGCAAGTCATTGTCTCAATAACGAGCGCACGATCCAACCCTGCACTCGGGAATCTCCGCGCCGCTGTCCAGCTGGATGAACTACACGGTGTTTGTTTTTCAGAGTGCACAGCATGTTCACTTGGGAGCCGACTTGTTGTGCACTTACTAGCACTTTCGTGCCCCGGTCTGGCTGCATCGTTTCCGTTGTTTCCCACTATTTATTTGTCTTTATCCCTCGGCAACGGGGGACGAATGGACTCACCACGTTCAGGATGCCCAGGCCGTTGAAGGGCCACTCAGTGACGATGCTGGAGCCGTACTGCGAGTTAAGGCTGCTCTCGAACGAAGCGAAGGCGCTCATGTCGCTGCTCGTCAACCGTACCTGCAGCAAAATTACCCCAAGAGAACAAAGTGCACAGGGCACGACGATCATGACACCAAGGCGGAGAGAGAGGGGGGCGGATACTCATAGTCGTGCATGCCGTAGTCGTTAGACCATTGACCTCGCATCCCTACAAAGCCGGGACGGAGCACGCCGGGTTCTCACCGGACCAGGCTCTCACATCACCAAGCGCGAAGCGCCGTGAGATATTCGGCGAGTCGCATGAAGGGTGCGCTGCATCCTGCTAAGGGTGTTCGGCATCTTGTGCTTACTTCCTTGCGTACGGATGACAGCTGCGTATGAATTACTTTACTTTCTGGTGCTTTCACTTCCAGAGACAGTTGTTAGCACTGTGAAACTGCCTCGAGGGTGCGTGACAGTTTTAACACAACGTGGTGCGATCATCCCCCTTGCGCGGAGTGAGGGTTCTCGACCCCGCACAACATGATCTACTGGACCACCATTATGGTTACCGCCAAAACAAAAAACGGAGGTAAAAAAAAAAAAACGGTAACCTGATTGCCGAGTTCACGAAGTGAATTGGCTGGTTTTACAACGTCGTTGCCATGCAACGAAAACCCAACCCCGATGGTAAACACCGGGGAGGGCGGGGCGACGACGGAGAGGGAGGGGGGGTCATCACAAATTGCTCGCGAAATCATGGACGACGAGGTAGTAGGCAGGTTGCACAAGAGGAGACCTGCCTCGTAGACAGCAGTAGGGATCGAAAATTCTGAGGTAGAGCGGGAGGGCGAGAGAGAGGGGGGGGGGGG